TCCAGTCACAAAACTCCTTTTCACTCCTCTATATTAAGAGTCTTTCTAAATCCACAGTTGTCATCTAGGTAGGCTTAAGGAACATAGTTTTAGCCGACACTTTAGCAATATCTTGAGTGTCTATTGCTACTGCTGCCCTATTGCAGACAACAAAACAGGGAAAATTTCTAGAAATTAGAGTTCTCTTGGTATTGAAATATCACAGAGGCCAATGTCATGAGAGACTGAGGAGTAACTGCCTCTGTCTTCTGGATTCTATGCTTGGAGACCTTGGACTGCTGTCCTACAAGGTCCTCTACTGTATGACTCTACTCGACTAATTCTCCACTTCATCAAAGTGAAGTGATCCACCAGGAAGACTGTCAGGCTCTGGACCTCACTACGTAGTTTCCAAATGGTAATCAAAAAACTGATTTTGTTATTGGTGGAAGATTGTAATATTGGGACATTTAGAAATTTGTGAAGCTTAAACAGATCTGATACTAGGGTTTATGGTCTTTGGTTTCACAAGTTATCTTTCTAGTAGAGGAATTAAATATCGACTCCTTAATACTGGCTGCAGCAATGGTAGACAACGAGATCTTAAGAGATGATGAGGTTCTACCCAAGGTTACCAGTGTGCTGTGCTGAAAAGAGTGTGGTTGGTGCCAGAAGACCTGGGATTTGGTCCCAGTCTTCATGACTTGCATAAACTACTGAAATTCTCTTTGAGTCTAATTCCCTAATTAGTAAAATCAAGAAAAAAAAATTCCAGGACATTTGTTAATTAGGAAATCAATTTGGAAATTACTTTGTAAACTGTGAAGTATTAAATGATGATTGGCACTACTCTGTTTAAATAGAAAATATGACTTAACGTGTATTTAGTTAATCTTTTAGGAAGCTTTTAGGACTTACCAAAAAATCTTATTATCAGTAAGTTTAGGAATTTGATTTCTTAACAGGAGTCTATTTTCATGTCTCTTTGAAATTTGAGTTTTTAAAATAAAAGGTGTCTATTTTATCCTTGTTAAGATGAGCTCTTTGAAGAATGTTCTTAAAACCCATAGCAAACTCACACTCCTGTATCACTGGATATAATCGCAATTTCGGTGCAATGAGTATTCATGTTCAATAATTAAGATAATCACTAATTTCCACTGCTCTTCCTCTGCCACTTCATGAGGTATGCACTATTGGTCTTTTAGTATTACACTCTCATTGACCATGGACTCTAAATCATTATTTGCTGGTTACAGACCTTTACAATGCCCAGTGGCATTTGCCACTGATGACAGCAATAACAGATGATGTTGAGCCAAAGCTACTGGGAGTGAAATGCAGAAGGCAAAATGATAATAAATAACTGCCACTCCATTACTAAACAATGCCTGAAATTGGTTCTATCACATGTTGGATATAGCAAAGTCTGCATAATCCAAGAACCAAAAAGGCATTTACTCAGTAACAGCAGCAAACAGAAAGGAACTCAAACATTTGTCTTGTGCAGCGCCCAGGAGTTCCTCATTAAGCATGGCATGATTAGTCAGAGGATTCGCAACAGATTCTACTTCAAAATCTTGTGGTATCTTCTCAAATTGATGGTACCTGGGGAATGTGTCAAAAGGTATACTCAGTCCAATAGATACGAACTTCAGGAATGCCGGATAGAACACAGAGCTAAAGTCTCAAAAGGCTGTGAGACTGAACATATGAATATTTTCTAAACACAGAGATGTAATTATAGACATGCATTGGTTTACGACGAGGATATGCTCTGAGAAATGCATTGTTAGGCGATTTCTTTGTTGTGTGAACATCATAAAGTATATTTACACAAACCTAGATGGTAAAACCTATTATATACCTAGCCTATATGGTACTAATCTTTTGGGACCACTACCATATATGTGGTCCATCATTGACCAAAACGTTGTTATTCGGCGCTTGATTGTATAGGGAATATGGGACTATTAGGGATATAAGATGCCTGGATGAGATCATAAAACTTGTCTACACATGATCTTGGTTCCATTCAGGTGATTTGAGTGGAGGATAGATTTGAACTGTCTTCCTTGGTCAGCCATCTCATAAACCTCAGGTACGAGAGCAGAATCTGTTGTAATAAACTCACGAGATAGATACTCAACAAGAGGGTGTTAGTGGACATAAAATGTCCATCCTATAAAATAATTACTCTTTAAAATGTAAAGGAAAATTTGTATCCTTCCTCCCTTTCTCAGACCGCTGTGGCTTCCTTTATTCTGTTCTCTTTCATTCCACTGATGATGTATCAGGCTTTTTGTGATGGTGGTTGTTTGTTTGCTTGTTACTAAATGATTCATCCTACCAACTCTAAGTCCTAAGCGAACTGACATGCAATAATCACCAAAGTTCGTAGTCTGAAAACATAATCCACTTGATAGATTATATAAATCTGAGCCTCAATGATGTTATTAGTAAAACTGGGATAATAATATCAATATAGCAAAGTGAACGTGAGCATTAAAGTAATAATATATATGAACAGATGTTATTTTGTTTTCCTCCAAAAAGAGAGCCTAAGATGGAGGGTAGTTTATTTTGGGAAGAGATCTTGTGTAACAGAATTAAGAGCCTGGGAAGAATGAATCAGGAAAGAAAGAAGAGCCAATCCAAAGAGCTATTTTCAAGCAGGTCACCGCTATAGGAATTGGGGCTTGATCGCCCTGGGGAACTTTTGAGGACCTGTGGAAAATGCACTTCAAAATGGTCCATCCGAGGAATGAAAGAGTATTGGCCAAAGGTTGCTTCGTGGGGTGTTAATGCCTTACACAAAGTTGTGTATGTATTAGAATATTGGAGCAGCCTCCTGAGGAATTTCACATAACGGTGGCAGGGAAACCTCAAGGCAGGAAGTCAATAAAATCCAAGCTATTTGAAATTCTTACAGAGGAGATTTATGAGAGCAGAGAATGGTTAGGTTAAAAATAATGTTGCTCCCAGTAGATTTGATGGTCAAGGATCTATCTTGTCACTAGACAGCAGTGAGCATGTCATTCCAGGGACATTCCAAATGAACTAGACTGTAGGGAGCTGTGCACAGTGGAACACAAATCCAGAATGCAGAGCAGTTTCAGTGTGATTTCCATAAGGTTAGAAGCAGTGGCTTCTATGAAAGATTCTTGAGATCCAGGACTGTGGAGAGTATCAACTTCTTAACCTGCAGTGGTCAAATGGCCGTCTAGCAGGCTAGTAATCCTGTCCGAGAACAAAAGTACGAAAAGAAAAGAAAAGTGCCTTATTTTCTTAGCATATAACTTTAAAGTTTACAAAACACTCTCATAGGCACCATCTTCTTTGAAGTCACCGGAGATGCTGTGAGAAGGTATGCTATTACTCTTCTCTTTGTTCAGATGAGGAAATTGTTTTTTAATCTTCTATTTCTTTTATTTAAGTGTATGCTTTTTACATGATGCTGGCTTTCCTTTGATAGTTTCTGAAGCAATATTGATTTATTTATATTTTTCAGTAATTTTATTGGGATTATAATGATTTGTAACATTGTGTAATTTCAGATGAAGCAATTTGAAGCTTCCGTTTTAAGGGTTTTAACCAAGTCTTCACTGTCTACATGTGATGATCTAGAATGAGAACCAAGGCATGTTTATCCTAATCCAGCATCCTAAAAGGTGTCTTTATTTTAACAAAACTTCCTCCTACCAATGACTTTGTAAGCCCTGACACTCGCCCTCCGCGTCCAGTGGCCCAGCAGCAGCCTCTGTGAATCCCTCACTCACTTCACAAAAGTGTGAGCGAAGTTTATCGCTAGCAAAATTTATTTCCAATTCCATTGCTTTTTGTAAGATTTGATCTCGTACCAAGGATGCCTATTAGCTTTGAAGGAAACTAACTCCAGATGCTGTGTGGCCCCAGATAGTTCCCAACACAAACTGGCATCTAGAGAACTGCGAAATAACCCAAATAATCAGCAAAACCTGGAAACTCAAGAAAAACCAACATTTTTAATAAAATACAGGTGTTGTGACCGATATATAGCAGTTCTCAGCAATCTGAATATTTGAAAACATGGAACTTTCTTAAATTTATCTTTTTCCATCTGTCTCCAAATTTTATGTTACTTCAGTTAACTAATTAAATAATAATAGTAATAATGATAATGATGATCATTATACAGTTGCTACTACCACTAAAAGAATAATAATAACTAGTAATTATTGAGAACTTATTATGAGCTAGGCACTGTGTTAAGCGCTCTATTAATTAACTGAGTTAATTCCCACATTAAGCCTTGTACAGAAAGCACTATTAGTAGCTTCACTTTACAAATCAGGGAACTGAGGTACAGAAGGCTGAGTTCCCAAGTAACACAGCAGGAAGTGGCTGATTCAGACGTGTTCCCAGGCAGTCTTATCCACTATACCATACTGCCTGCCTTTCAGACCCAAGGTCTGTAGTCTGGTCTGCAGTTGCAAGCTATCAGTTGCTAGGAAACCAAACTTTCACAAATTCCCAAGCATTGGGTGTAAGTAAAGTGAGGTACTGCATCTCAGAGTAGTTCAGAAGTTGATTAACATCTTTGAAGGGGTGTGGGAATGTGTGTGTATGTATGTATGTGTTGAGCATATGGGCAGAAGAATGCACTGAAGAAAAGAAGAAAAGTAGAGGAAATTTGCCCTGGAAGTTTTTTTCCCTAGAATTTCAGAGTATATTTACAGTTTCTCGGTTTCTCTTTCCTACTTTGACGAACATGTACATATTTCACTTTTTAATTCCTATGACTGCTATAAAAATCAAAAGTGGTACGGAGTGATCCACTACCCCGCAGAAATGGTCTCACCGTGAGCTCTCAAGGTAGAGGAGATAATTCCCCTCAGGCTGCTGCCCCTGCGTCCTGAGGCCTCTTCTCCCTGTGCTTTGCAAAACCAGCTCCAGATCCAGGAGTCCCGTGTGAGAGAGGCTGCCTGCATTGACAAGGACAGGGCATAGCACACAGCTCTCCCCCCAGGGAGGCGACATACCCGGTCAGTTTTCCCTTCGGTCTGGACGCTGGTGTGACTGCGGACCTCATGATCCTCTTCCAGGTCAGAAACTTCCTCCAGTTCCTCTGGGGTCTGTAAAAAGAAAGCAGAACATTGCTGGCAGGGACGCAAAATGGAAAACAGTCTGGCAGTATCTCAAAAAGGAAGCATAGAGTTACCCAGCAATTCCACCCCTAGGAATATACCCAGGAGAAAAGAAAATACACTTCCACACAAAAGCATGTCAACAGTGTTCAGAGAAGCACCTATCATAAGAGCCAAAAGGTGGAAAAAACGCGAAAATTTATCTACTGATGAGTGAATAAATAAAATGTGGTAAATCAAAATAAATTAAATTTTCTAGGAACTTACTAACTAATGTAACATGAACTTCAGTGTCTATTCTAAATAGTCAACCTACTTCAATTCCTTTTTTTCAATTTCAAGTTAAACATGTCTCGTTCAGGGATGTATTCTGCTCAGGAATCCCCAAGACTGGATTGGGTTCCTCTGCCAGCATTTCCCGATGCCCTCTCCTTTCGCTATCATAATGCTCACCATACTTTATTGTACCACTGTTTGTTGAGTCAGGCAGCCAATTGTTGAACTGCCTACTTTGTGACATAAAGACTAGGTCTGCCCTGCTTAGTGTCAACCTGACACATAAATGCTTTTGAATGAATGAAGCAAAATTATCAGTGATAGCCAAAAGGTTAGTTAGATATGAGCAAAAGAACACATCTCAACAACAACAAAACCTGTCCTAACTGTACCTTTGCCCTGCTTCCATCTTCTTTATTTCAAACTAAAGTTTTTTTATTTGTTTCATGTTGCTTTTCGTAGTTCAAGGTTTTCATTCCTCCAGTCTCACTGGGGCATTAATATAAAGATACCAGTCATTATTGCAAAAACAAGTAAAAGTACTGGACAGGAATTAACTTAATATTTGTTTTAGTTTACACAGTATCAGCTCTAAACTATGACGCGTTTGCTACAAAGCCCTGGTGAGAAATGCAGAACACAAAAGTTTAGGATTCATGAAAAACAACCACAATCAAGTAGAAGATCTCTTACAGCTTGACCCTGGCTGTGAAAGAATGGAAAGGGCCGGGCTCTGCCTCCTTAGGCCAGCTCTGGTTTCCCTTGAACCTTGCTGTGCATACAGGCCTTTTGTTTATTTTTCAGGGCTGTGAAGAACTTTCCTTTCCTTGGGACCACTCCAGAGATGGAAACTTGCAATGGTTAGCTCACTTTATGGAGCAAAACTACCAATTTCCTAACCATCAATGGCCTCGGATTCTTTCTCATCTTCTGCATCTTTAATCAGCACTTTCTTTGTCTTTGAACCCTTGTACTGAGCATCATCCATCCCTTTGCATTTATTTCAATTGACTTCGACGGGATTTTAACATTCCCCCTCTCACCAAGGGCTCCGATGCTGCGGAACTGTTATCTATACGTTGATCTCTATACGCAGTCCTCTTTCTTTGTTGCAACTATTTGCAGCTAAGATCATAGGGGATTTACTCTCTCTTTTTAGATATTAATTAGCATGAGTTCACTGCTATGGAACTTCTACACAACCACGTATTAGCCATTTCTGTGTATTCTTCCCACAGTATTCTTGAGAAAGGATCTTTGCAATTTCCCTCCTGGATGAATCACCAGCCCCTATAACATCTGAATAAATTCAGTTGACCAGATTCACTTTCTTGGGTGCTATTGTTTTGTAACTGAAGGTTGTCTGCTGCCCCTACTGTGATCTGTTCCTTATAAACGTCTGTTGTTTATCACTTAGGTTATACTCTATCATGGAGTTGTACATATGACTTCATCATTGATTCCAATATTTTATTCAGTCCAAAAATAAGGTAACAGCAGAAACTAGAACAACTGCTGCTGTCAGAAGTCTCAAGTTCCATTTTTGTTGATGATACGGCAGCAAGAGATAGGCCTACCATTTACGCCCACAGGTTTCTGTGCTTTTCTTTCTCTTTAATATGATACTAATAGTTTTCTTGCAAAGCCACCAGAACTGACCTCTTCTTTTCATGAATAAAATCAGTGGGAGAGTATTCAAAACCCTTGCTGGCAGCATTTTGCATTCTGTAAGGCAAATAGTTGGATGGTCTTGAAAAAATAAAAAGTTAAACACAGAATGTTATAGTTTAAATTAAGCAGAAGCTAAGAAAGAAATAGGAGTGCTCTAGCCACTTTTGGGGCGATATGTTAATTCCTTCTGGATTGAAGGCAAATACAGTCATGCCTTGGCATCCATGGGGAATTGGTTCCAGGACACCCGAAGATAATAAAATCCACAGATGCTCAAGTCCCTTGTATAAAATGGCATAATATTTGCATACAACCTATACACGCCTTCTGTTATACTTTAAATCATCTCTGGATTACTTATAATACCTAATAAAATGTACACGCTATGTAAATAGTTGTTGTACTGTATTGTGTAAGGAATAATAACAAGAAAAAACGAGAGTCTGTCCATGCTCAATACAGATGAAACCATCCTAGGCTTTTCAATCGGATGTTGGTAGAATCCACAGATGTGGAACCTGAAGATATGAAGTGAGGACTAATTGTAATAATTTAAAGAGCAAATATTCAAAAAAGGGAGGAGGTGCGGTGGCTACGCTATGTTATACACTCTTAGAAACATCTCGCTTTTACTCGTCTGGTAACTTTAGAAGGTTAAACATCTGGAAGCTGTGTGTGTGTGTGTTGCGTGAGTTGTGTGTGTTCCTAATCAATTTTCATTCTGTGGAAGGGGAGACCAACTATCTTAGAGGACAGGCCATGTAGTAGAAAGATCATACGCTGTTGCGTAATGCAGACTTGAATTTGAATCCTGGCCTCCAATTAGGCATGGGATTTGGGGCAATTTATGTACCCTTTTAAACTTTGGTTTCCTCAGAACAAAATTTTGGATAATAATACCTTACCCTGAAGTTTATTGTGAGGCTCAGCTGCACTAAGATGCTTTAAGTAAGCTCTTAGACCACAGAAACTGCCGGGGTGCAACAAAAGTTTGTTTCCTGCTATCTGTTGCTTTTTCTCCTCTTCTTCCACTATCCTGTCCCTCATCCCACCACAACTCTTTATATTTTTTGATAAAACTTTTATGACAATTTGGATGCCTCCATTTTAATTCAAGTTTATTATTGTGGATTGACATGGTACTTACTAGCTACCTCCAGTTATATTCACCTGATTTTGAGTCTATAATGTCATTATGCTAAACAGGGTTTAATATAATTCCACATACATTGTTTTCTTCTAAATACCAAGTAAACATCTCTTTTGATCTGATTTTGATCATGTAAAAGAGTAAAACTATGTCTTAAACTGGCCCCAGCAAAGATTCACTCTAACATAGAGTCTCAAAGATGATGGAAATAACTCCTTCACTAAGCTGGCCTTACCAGACCAAGAAGAACATGTCCAATTTTTTTCTGGAAAGAGTGTTAATGAACTCAGTCACTACCTACCTATTCCTCATATCAAAATTCAGGAAAACTGCTTTGTGCTCTCCTATTTTAACTCTTGCTTGCTGTGAAGACTTCCTTAAGCAGCCCAAAGCCACCCGAAATAAGCTTAGTTTCCTCACCTACAAAATGGTGAACACAGCCCCTAATTTTAGGGTTATTGTGAGGATAAAATAAGATGATGGACTGGAACATTATTCAGTGACTAGAGAATACTGAAGTTTCGATATTATTTATGATTATTATAGATTACTGTTGTATGATCTCACTTTATTTATGCAAAAGAGGCCAGAAACAAGTATGCAACTTAAAAATATTCGTGCTGAGGTTTGTGTGAGAAAATGGGGCTGCAGTAAATGGTAATGGTACATTAAACTTCAGGGTCACAATAAATTGGTGGTATATTTATGTGTATTTGCGTGTGTATATATATACGTGTGTATACACATATATAGAAATGACTGCATTTATATTGCTTTTTTCCCCTCCAAGGTTCTCAAAGCTTTCTACGGGCTTTATCTCATTAATTCTTTCAGCATCCCTAGTGAGGCAGGCAGACAGTATTAATATATCTAAAAATTCACTTGCAGAGGCTTTATAAATGTTTAATATTGTAACATAAAAAAGAAATTTGTGGTCACTAAACAGCAGAAAGAATGGAAGAAAGGAAGAAAGAAAGAAAGGAAGGAAGAAAAAAAAAGGAAGGACAAAAGGAAGGAGGAAACAAAGGAGGAAAGAAAAGAGGAAAGAAAGAAAGGGAAAGAGAGAAAGAAAGAAAAAAAGAACAAAAGAAAGAAAGAAGGGAGAAAGAAAGAGAAAAAGGAAGAAAGGGAGAAAAGAAACAGAAAAGGATAGTCTAGAAAACAGGAATTATGCTTGGCATTTTCCTCTCAGAATTAAGGTTGAAATTCTAAATCATACACACGATTTAATCGTAAATCATACTTCTCTAACCATCCATCACTGGCTTAGTAAAATAAAATAACTGCCATAGCAACGTCAGTAGTGGTTTGACACTCTGAGAAGCTGTTAGGGAGGATGCTATGGATAGTCTTTGGAAGCAAGATGCTGGAAACATGTTCAGTGAGATCATCCTAGTTGAGCTGATAACACAGGATGATTTGGAAATGTCAAAGTGGAGAGTCCAAAATTAAAATACATTTTAAAAATAGGAATATATATATCAATAACACAATTTCAAAATATAGAAAACCAAGAAATGTCCTTTGTTGAACACACACATTCATCTATGCATCTTTTCTACTTCTCAAACATGTCCCACACATCAGCTCAGTCCAGTGCCAGCTCTTTGGCTCTTTGTGTTTCCTGCTCTCTTGCCTGGCACACTCCTCCACAACTCACACAAGGCTGGATCCTTCCGGCCACGGAAGTTCAGATGGCCTCTCCTCTACCCTATCTAGTCTTCCCTGGTCAGTCTATCTAAAGGTAACTCATTCCTCCACTTCATTTATTTATTACATCACCTTGCATGTTTTTCTTTATGTTTCTTGTCATGATCATAATCTGAAATCATATTTTTCTTCTTTTTCTGTTTTTTTTCCTTGAAAGGGGATATGTTTTGATTTTGCCCTA